TGGCACAAATCCTTCAGTAATTACAGTAAATAATTACCACCTTGTTCTGAAAGTGTATTGACTGTAGCTTTCATACAGCCACCTTATGTATCTTGTTTTGTTTGGTTTTGTTTTATTCCAGGGTTTGGTATTGCGAATTGCCATGTTATAAATGATGTGAACTATGTGAGGAGCCACGATTCTGCTATCATATGTTCTTCTTCCTCACAGGAATAATTATATTGTCTTTACATAAATTAGCTTTGATTTTTAATCAGGTAGCTCAGAAACAAACTCAAGATATTTAAAGGATCCTAATTTCTGACTACACTGAGTTATTTGCTTTATTTCACTGAATGGCTTCATAATTTTACTTTTTCTTAATGTATTACAGTTTCTTATCTCATCAAACCAGTTTAAAATAAAGTCTTATAAATATTTAAGTTTCTGACTTTTTATTTCTTACAGTTTTTCAACGATGCACATAATTTCCTTGTGGTAGGCTTAGTTTTCATTTAAATTGTGGATGCTTTTCACAGTTAGGCTGTTCTAATACCCAGAGGCAGCTGTGATTCCAGCCCTCTTCTGGAAGTCACCAATTTAACACAAATGAAGATTGTGAATCTCAGCAGTCCTTTCAGCACCCTTCCTCACAGGCAACTTTTTGACAGAACACTAAACTGATATAAAAACAGTTTTATTTAGTCTGTAAATGTCTTTTGGTTCATTTGCAAATACCATCACAGATTTTTTTGTAAAATCAGCCTTGCACTGTTATCACTGTACTAATACACTAAGTATATTTTGCATCAAAGTTTGGCTCCTCACTAGAGATTAAGCTGTAAAGATTAGTTCCAATCTACCTTTCAGTCCATTATTTGTAGCTAGCTTCATTCTACTTCAGAAAAACCTTTCTTTCTTCCTTACAATATCTACAAGTTAAGAGATTTATGTGAACCAACTGGTTCAACTGGTTTGAATGGAACTAATGATGAGCAAATCAAGCTATCTGATTTCCTGTGTAATCAGATAACAAGACATCTAATATTTATCTGGACTTTATATCACCAACTCAGCTTTTTCATCTGGCCTCAAGTAAAAAAAATGTTGGATGGAAAAAAACAGCCCATATAAAGCAAAAACCTAAGCCTCAGCCAGTTTTCTGGTAAATTAGGATGATATAACTCTTTAACTCCTAAATCTGTAATAACTGACTGAATTTTATTTTCCATGTACTCCTGTGGAGAGAAGATGAAGAATAATGAGGCTTGCCACAGTTCTTCAGAGTACTGCTTTAGGGGACCAAATATGGTGTAATGGTCAAGCAGCTGACCAGCTGCAACTACTAAGTATTTCCTTAAGTGTTTAAGGAGCTTTTGTACATTTTCATCAAGCTTAATATTGTACATGATACAAAAAGACACATTAGAGGGAATTTAATTAGCAGCTTTTCTAGCAGCATCAGGAGAGAGGTCAAGAGGTGCATATTTAATACTCCCCCTCTGGAGATGAACATTCTGGGCAAGTGGACAAGTAACTACCACCTCTATAAAGGAGGTCCTGCACATCTGTGAAATGGCCAGAGCCCTGTTCTTCCTGTACATGTTTATGTATTGAGAAACTGGAGAGTTTATAAGGTTATCCTCTTGCTTTCTTTTTTTTTCTTTTTTTTTTTTTTCCAAAGTAAAAATGGACTCTACAGTGTACAGTTTTTGAAGTAGAGACAACAAATTGGGAGTTTGACTTTGAAAGGCTCAAGCCATTCCCAAAAGTTAATCATGTTTGAAATGGAATAAGATAGGAAATCAAATATAGAGGGAGCTGAAGCCACCAATCATGAAAAAAAAGTAAGCCAATCCTTCTGTCTTTAATACACAGGGTTCAGCAGTAAATAACTTAAGAAATTCCATATCAATCTGAATTCAATATTTTCCTTTTGCTTTTGGCTCTCACTTGCATTATTTCCACTCCTTTCAAAGGTCCATTGGTGCAATGAGTCACTCTGAACTAGAACACATACTTTAGTGCTACCAGTAAAGTTTGTGCTGTGCTTTTCCTGTAAATTAATCAGGTACTTCAAGGTCCAAGCACCTTTCAATAGCAGTAAAATCCATATATTCTTCTCATAGAAGCTGATAATAGCAATACAGTTTTACTAAAATGTGTCTGGGAACCATGATGCCTGCTTACTGTGGTTACAAAACACACAGGTCAATTGGATGCAGCTACAATAGAGATTTATTTCTGCACTTAAATCTACTTCATCTTATCTGTTAATTCTAACCTGCCTGAGCAAGAAACATCTTGTATTGATTAGCTGGTTTTGAAGACAATGAATGCTTTTGAAGTACCTGACTCAGGAAATTAGGTGCTTTCTGCTGTCTTGAATGCTATGTCAAGTGTCAGGCTGAAGTTTGTTTATCTCTTTATGTTCAAGTCCTTTCAAATATTTTCTGTTTTACTTACTACTTCTTTTTCCTGCAGTAGCTACAGTCTCTGAGATGTAATTTAATGCTGCTTGTACAGCCTTTCACTATGAAGCAGGGACATGCTTTAACCAAGCAATTTTCCCCTCCTACTCAAATAAAACATACATTTAAAAAAAAACAGTTCAAATGCACAGTACACTTATGTTATGGGCCCAGTGAGGTATAACATAAAGTCTGACTGTGAATTGCTTTTTTTCATAGCCACAGCGTTAAGTAAAGAACAACAGCTCAGGTAAGAACTGGAAGGGACCACAATATGTGCCTGTTCTCCCAGGGATTCAGGGAGTCACTGCAGCTGCAGGAGTCAGTTCTGGAAATTCAGAGTTGCTCCCAACATCCTGCAAGCACACCACCAGTGCCTGAGCCACAAGGCTTTATCTCAGGCTACATATCACTTCTCCCAGGCCAGTGTCAAGATTTCCCATTACAAAATATTTCAATTTTTTTTGTCTGCAATAGCAGACAAATTTGTCATACAGTGTGCTGTCCAAGGAACTTGAGATAATGACAGTAACTGAGAAAGGTAACAGGTAACAACTCAGACTGGGTATTGTTAGGGAATTCAATAATTATGGGCAGCCCAGTAATTGTGAGGAGTCAAAGTGGCAAAAGGGGAGTTTTGTTATGTGAGTATATTGTCCTTTTTTGTTGGTGTTGAGATGATGTGGCTTTAATATAGGTGTGGATTTTTTTGGTTGATGTAAAGAAGTGCATGATGAAGACATACTTTAATGACAATTCAGCTCTCTAAGACCTATGACTAACCTGCAAAAGGGGATATTGACTATTTAATCAGTTTGAAGGGACTTTACATGAACATGATATTAACTTACTCCTTGGAAAAACATACAGCACTATATACTCTGAGCTTACATAAAGTAACATAACAAAGGAAATGGGAAGTTGGCATTGAAATCTATGAATTTATACCCATATGCAGGCTGTAGACAGGGCAGTTAGGGTGATATACTTCTCCTTTAGAAGCTCAATCCAAAATTTAAGCTCCCTCAGCACATGAAAAGTTTGTAAATGGAAACTTTGTATGGTTGCCCTTTACTTTTCTTTGCTGTTCAGTTGGGGTACTAAGGCTTTAAGGGGAGTACTGTGCAGAAACATCTGTGTTGACAGGAATACTGTGCTCCACACACTGCTTGGTAAAGGAGTGGCTACTCAGGGTCTGCACATAGTGATCAAATAGCTGACAGCTGCTCCTGTTTTTCTTTTTTATTCAGGGATCCAGCATGAGAGTTGGACTGTGAATACTGAGCTATTATTGTTGGCTCACAAATGTTGAGCTGCTGGTATTGATTTTCTGAAAAGATGTTTGGAGCAGTAACAAAAATAAAAAATAATGTCAAGAATGATGAGGCTTCACAAATAGCCAATAAGAGAATCTACAAAAATCTTAGTAAACTCTTGGGCTATTCAACCTTGACATTGTCCTTTTCAATCTGAATCCAATCTTCCCGTGTTTTGAGAAGCCAACCGCATTTGTTTTTACCCTCACAGTGCCCCCACTGGCTCAATGAATCACTCTGAGCTGCAGTTTGCACTTCTAAACTTTCGCACTCTACACAGTCACCCTGGGAAAGAAGAGAAAGAAATGGATAGTGGAAGACCTGGAGTAAATGATAAAAGTCCTGTTCATCAGAAGGAATTTCTTCTGAAGTCAATGGGAGCTAACAGCATGGGCGGCTGTCAAGCTAGACGTCTCATCAGGCCTCATATGGACCTCCCAAGAATACGTGCTGTCCTTTTGTAAACTTTAGGATTTACAGTATTTGATTTACCCATGAATACATGAAAAAAACTGCAGTCATTTTCATGATAAACTTTATTCTCTTACTACATTTTTAAAAATACAAAGAGCAGTTGATGATCACAGTAGTTTATAAAAAGCAATTAAATTTTTATTAAGAGATTATTCTCAACTGTAGCCAAAACTAACATATAATCATTCCATAACTCTCAAAATAAAAAATTAATTATCCAGAATTAAATGCTCCATATGTAAGCTTTCCATAATGGAAGTCTCTGAAGAAAACTGACCCTCAGTATCTGAATATTTCATTATTTCTGACACAAGGGACTTAAAACCACTACTTTTGTTTAAAACCAGATTAGTCTCATTTTATTTCATTACACCAACATAAAACTAGAGTAATGCAGCTATAAATTAGGTCAAATATTTCTAGAACTACTGACTAAGATAAAAAATGTAAATGGGCAATATGTTCTTAATGGACAGATGGTAACAGCACTGACTACATGGGACAATGTCTTACCCTACCAGCAGTTCCATTAAACATACTGGGGAGTAAGTTATAGCCTAAAATTCAGGACACAGTTTACCAGTGTCTGCCTGTGTGTTTGCACAGTGCCCTCTAAGATGGGCTCCCTGTCTGGGTATTACAAAAATACACATAAGAGACAGAAAAAATTAATATGCTTTGAAATGTAACAAAAACATTGAGATAACTGAAATAAAAAATCTCTTCAAGCTTCAATAACCCACTTTGCTTCAAGCATTGTTGCCTTTGCTTGTGATTTCATTTCCTCCCAGGTGAATACAAATCAGCAGTGTAAATCTATTCAAACAGTCTCCGAAGAAAGGACTTTTTCGTCGATGTTGATAACTTCATGGTTTTCTTTTTGCGCAATGGTTTCATGGGTGTCTTTTTCAGGCACATCACTTTTTGGGGAGTTTGTAGCCCTTTATTAAGGTCAATGTGCTCATTGCAGAAATATTTGACATTTGCTTCTGAGAGACCTAGAAGCATGGTCTCTGAGAGATCCATACACTGCGCATGGACCCAGTGGCCAGCCCCACTGGAACACAGGATCATTGCAGGCTTGTTGAGTTCTGTCGAATAGAAAGGGACCCATGTGTTGATGTCAATATTGCAACTGGCACAGCAGGTGATCCAGTAGCCTGTTTCTGATTCATCTTCTTCATCATCTTCATTGTAAGTATCAGCATCGTCAGCATCAAAGCTATTGGCTTCAGCACTAAAAAAAAACTCCTCCGAATCTTCAAATGGAGTGGAGTCTCCAGGGTCTTCACTTGATGTCTGACTGCAAGTTTGTGTTATCAATTCTTCTTCCTTGTCCTCTTCTGCACCTTTGCATCTCAAAATGTAGAAATAGTTTGCATCAGGAATTATTTGTTTGTTGGCCCCTGGAATGCCCAGCAAAACAGACCCTTTACCCATATCACAGCCAAACCACATTCTGCAGTGTTTAATATCTGGTGTCCATTCCGGACCCACACTTTCAACAATCTCTATCTTACTATCTTCCAGAACTATGGTGTTACACGCCAGACGTTTCTGGTTGTCTGAGTGGTAGCCACCGACAAGGACAAATTCGTTGTCACTGATCTGGGTCACTATAGCACTTGACACTGATATCCCCCCTGGCAGGATGGTGCAGGTCACAGCTGGGCTGCCCAGGGGCAGATCAATTTTTAGCCTGTACAAGTTGGGGGACCTGGTGTTATTTTGAAGTGAGTGGCCTCCCAAGATGTAGATTGTATCATCTCTGGCAATCGAAACGTGAAAAGAAAGTCCATCTTGAAGCTCTGGAAGTATGTATGATGTACAGCATCCAAACTCAAAATCAATGAGAAACACAGATGGCAAACAGTCAACTACACTGTTCCATGTTTCCGTGGTTCTTTGTGCAAGAGGAGTATACGACCTCCCTCCAAAAAGAACACTCATGCTTTTTCCCCGGCTATGAACTACATTCATTGAATGCCCATATCTAGCTTCAGGGACATCTCCACCCAGGTCTTTCTCAATGCATTGGAACGTAATTTTCTTGCTAGTTTTGCTTACCAAACTTATAAGATAAATCTTATCAGAAAGGTCATTGTTAGGTGTTTTACCACCATGGATGATATAATGGTACTCATCAGCCCTTGCATCACTTCTGAACGTGCACAGAGCAGGGTAACGGAGAGGGGGAAGGTAACATGAATCTTTAGAGAAGAAGACAGGTTTCATTTTGAGCTCATTCTGCTTTATATCAAGGAGAAAAACACCAGTGGGGCAGGATCTCTTTGGCCATCCTTTCTGACCAAAAAAGAAAACAAGCCCATCAAAATTCAGGAGAGAGAAGCCTGGCTGAAGCAAGGATGAGTTACTGATGGTGGATACCATCTGCAGCGACATTTTGTCTGTTGACTGGGCCATAACGTGGCTGAGAAAATAAAAAAAGACAAAACAAACAGATCAATTAGATCCTATCACAATTACTGTGATTAGATCCTATCACAATTATTTAAAACAGCTTTAACAAACCCTATGGAAGTTGCGCTGCAGTTCACTCTCTGAAACTCACAAAGGCACGCTTTTCTGCGTCTCAAGACATGAATCAAGCACGAGGCGTGCACCATTTCCGTGGAATTTTGGGGATTTCGTGCACACCACGAGCTGCCGGCACACGGAGCCTACACAAGGCTGCGCTGCTGCGGCTTCCCGGGGCCCGCGGCCGCTCCCCCGGGCCCGCGGGCTGCTGGGGCCGGTAGTTCTGGCCGGGCGCCCGGCCCGGCCCGGCCCGCGCCTCCTTGGCCGGGCCGCGGGGAGCCGGGACCGGCGGGCTCGGAGAGCCGGCGGCGGTGAGTGCGGCCGCGGGGCCGGGCTGCTGGCTCAGCCCCGGCGCCGGGATTTCCTGCCCGTTTGTCGGCCCGGGGCGGCGGGGATGCCGGGCCGCAGCCCCCCGGCCGCGGCAGGGCCGGGCCCCGCGTCCGGCGGGTCGGGCTCGCCCGGGGCGGCAGGAGGCTCCGGCCGGGAACCGGCCCAGGGCCCGCAGCCGGCGGGGGGAGCACGGCGTGCTGGGAACTCGAGTGCGCGTTTTGTTTACGAGGAAAACGCCAGCATTTGTTGAGTGCCTTTAGAGGGAGGAGGTGCCCGCGGTGTTTGCAGCCGTGCAGGATCTCAGGACAGCCCCGTCGGGATCTCAGGCTAGAGGGTGCCGTGCCGCGGGGCCTCAGGGAGCGCCCGTCCTTTGTCCGGCATCTCTGCGCTTTGCTCACGCCTTCGTGAGTAGGTTTCAAGGGGTGTCTTTTACTCTCATAAACATGTTTGTTTGAAAGACTGAAAGGAGTTTATGTAATCAGCCTGGATATTGACTGTGAAAGAGCTTTGAAGAGCAAAGACACCGAGGGGGAAATAACTGGCTGATTCATTGGCAGCATCCTTTGGTGACAGTAGGCAGATGCCCTTTAGCAAATACCCTAAGTTTTCTGTCCCAGCCTTTGCCAAATCCCCAGAATTTAAGGGTGTGAACGAAATATTTGAAAAAAAAACAAAACAACAAACCCACTACATTCTATATTTTAAAATGTAATAACTTAAAAATAATTAGGATTCATATTTTCATAGTTGCTGCTTTTCATTTTGCTGTGACAACAAAAACAAGCCACATAGCTGTTCCTTTTTAAGGAAGGATTGGTATCTTCTAATTATGTGACGTTAAAACGTGGGGGGATCTGAACAGCTTCATGTAGAGGAAGAGTTGCTGTAAAAACATAGGAACTGGTGACACTGACTACATCAATTACTATGTTGCACCATATTGCTGCACTGCCTGCCTGCAAACTGGTATGGGAACTGCTGTGCTAAAATAGGGATCTCCCATGGAATGTTTTTCAAAGGTGAGATGTTTTCAGGCCAGAGCACACAGACAGGGTAGGCGTAGCCATTACTGACTCTATTTGAAAAACAATCCATGGAATAGCTGTCTTAACTTGTGGAATCATCTAAAGATCATGGTTGAGTTCTGTTCACTATATAGCCTAATGTCTCTGCCCTGAAGGTGCTAGTTTTTTCTACATTTGGATTTCTTTTTGAAGTACTGCACTTCTAAAGTTAAGGTTATAAGTTAATTAAATTAGTGAACCCTTTTCTGAGCGTGTCAGTATACACAGCAGGTTGTGTCCTTATTATGCATGAAGAAAGACCTATGAATTTATTTACCTTCAGGTGATATGCTAAACAGGAATCTGCTGCTTGTTTCTTACAAGCATTCAAAAATGGCATCATCAGAGGAGCTTGCACTAAGTTAGGTTTATTGATTAGATGTCATTTGTCTCTTCTTTCGTATTGTCTGGTTACTTAGCTGCTTTGATTTTACAGGATCTTTAGAAAAGTAACATCTTTCATACTGAAGATGCCATAAGAAAATTCCTGTTCTATGTAAGAAAATTAGAGTTCTTTATCTTCTATTTCTCCAGTTCTACATTTGACTGCTGCTTTATATTTGAAGTCTAACAACAGTATTAAAAGTGGCAAACAATTTAATTGGCATATTGGTATGCATCTTACATTTTTACACATACTTAAAGAATCTCCAAATAGGGCAATTATTGGTGTCCACAATATCACAAACTATTTCCCAGATATTGAGCAGTACTCACTTCTGAAGACCTCACTATCTGAAGAGTCTGCAGATACAGAGTGGAGAAAAAAATCAGTGAAAATTTTTTGATTCATAGACACATAGAACATACTGGTTAAGAACACTTAAACACACTTCCTTGTTTCATAATATTTCTTGAACTTTACATAAGCAAACAATTCAGTATGTAATGGAGGGAATGTTTATCTGAGATTTTTGGACAGAAGTAGCTCCTTAGGCACTGGCTGAAATTGCTTTGGCTTTTCACGTATTTTCCTGTTAATTACAGTGTGTCAATACAGTGTGGTTGCTCTTTGGCTATGCTGACCTCCAACTCTAACCTTCCAATACCACTGATTCCTCTGGGCCGTGCCTCATGTAGCCCTGAACAGCTTCAGGGAGCCCAAAAGATCTAACCTTATAAACAAAGAGTTTAAAGTGCTTTTTTGTGGCTTTATGCTCAAAACTGGAGTTGGATTAGCAGTGTAGCTAGTGCAGAGAGAAACAGACAAATGCCTTTGTTGTGGTGCAACACAGGATACCGGGGAAGAGACACTACAAAGAGTAAAGACAAATAAGAAAAGAAGGGGGGAGTTACATAAACAATTTCCAATTATGATGACTTGAGTCATGCTTCATCATATTTCGTGTTTTTTAGAAGGATTATACAAGTAAATGAGAATCTCAGCATTACTTTTATAAGCTCCCTATTTGGGAAGCAGTAGAGACCTGAGCGAGAAACTAAGCTAACAGAAAGAAAAAAACCTGATATTCTCTCTGTCTTTATTTTAAAATCAAACAGTATTTTGAGCAGGTTTTTCAGGTAAGAGTTGGTTATATGGTGAGATTATAAGGAATTCAGGTTTTGATGGATGCATTGGGAGATACATTTATAGAAGGATCAAATGAAGACAGAAGGTATTTTTTAAAAACACTAGTTAATGTAATTTGAAATGTGCTTGCTATGGAAATAGATGGACATAGATACAATTTTGGGTGATGTACCATTTCAGAAACCCTATTAGGTGTTCACAGAGAAGTACAAGATGAACATCTTTTAGAGGCAAGGGGTAGCACTGAAGGACCTAAACAGCAACTGACATTTCATATACCTTTGGATAGTCTTCCTTGTCTTCTAGCTTCTCCTATGGAAGCAAGTCTGTCATTGTTATATATCCTAGACCCTAGTAAATCTAGGATTTATGAAATGTCACTAGATGACAGTGTGGCACTGAGTCACCCCAAACTGTGTTTAATAGTTACTGTCCTCTTTGACCCTATGAAGAAATGGTTTGTTCACCTATGTGCTTTGCCTGTTACCTGTTAGTTATCCAACAAAAATATTCTAATCAGGAGAACAATGACTAATCAGTGCTGCTGTTTAGTGTGACATCTCATATTTTTCAGCATTGGAAGTATTATTTGTAATAATTTCACAGTAATTTGAATGCTGCAAAATAATGAATGACTAATGAGTTGATCTTATGAACTGTAGCAAACACAAAGAACCTTTTTAATTTACACAAAAATAAGATATTTGAGCTGTACTGATTGGACACTGAGAGAATGAAATGCAGGATACAATGGAGTCTTAGCTGGTAAACACCCATTGCTGACCATTAATTAGTTTGCAGTTATTTTGATGAGAACACAGATACATAGTATAGAATTAAATTGATTTTGCAGTATTGTGTTTTCTTTTCTTTGACAGATCTGTTTTTTCATATCCAAAACAGAAGAGCATACCCCTAAAAGCAAGTGCTGTTTCCATATTACCCACTATCAAAATCATATCCATACACACAGAGAAGTTTGAAGTCCTCCATAAAGAAGCTTAAGGAAGGAAATCTTTTATGTAGCATTTCTCAAAATATTTTCTAAGTGTATCAACCAAGTTTGCTTTGGGCAAAACAGTAATTTAGACATACCTGGCTGATAGCAGTTTTTTGCGTCCTCCGCAATCTTTCTGTGTAATTGGGATTCAAATGTGAGCAATGTGAGGAATCTTCTGTGACAGCCGAGGGGTCTGTGGCAAGGACAGACAGCCTGATAGAGGGGATTCTATATGCTTAATTTGCAGATGTGCTCCTGAGAACTCTATCTGCTGTGGCTAACTGGCTGTGACTGGTTTGTTTTCTTTCCCCTCTTGTCTTTAGATGGCACAACAAGAAACCCACCAGCCTCCAGAAGCTTTAACTCTTTGCTGTGGAAGAAGCTCAGAGTGACAGCAGGTGCCTCTTAGGTTGTAAATATCTACAGCATAAGCTTCTTTATGGTTGAGTTTTTTTACGCTTTTTTCTTTTACACCTATCAACCTTGTGATCATCTTCAGAATTTTTCAGTGCTGTTTTAAAATGTAATTTAAAATAAATTTTGAGTTAAAAAATAATTTCAATAGGTAGTAAAAGAAAACAACTCTTGCTGATTGGCATACTACTTTCCCCAGGAATTCTCTGCTGCAAGCGGGCAATGACATTGAAACAGAGCAAAGGAAATGACAAATGCATGCAGTTCACTGAGTGAGGGCTGACTAAAAAGTCCAACTCCAAGTCCACTGAATTAATTAGAAATGTCTTTTTTTCTCCTTTGGTGGCCTTCTGATCAGACCTTGAAAGACTAATAAAACTTTGCACCCTTCTGTGGCATTTTTCATCAGTTTCACAGTGCTTTTCTCCAACACAAATAAATAATGAGACGCCGGGAAGTCCACTGGGAACATATCCTTTCTACAGCTAGCAGTGCTGGGGCACAGAGGATAAACCACTTGCATAACACAGCACAACAAATAAACAGAAAAACCTGGAAAACAATTACTCTTCATAGCTCTCTGCTTTTGTTTTCCTGGCCCTACTTCACCCACTCCTGAGTTACAACATCTGCTGCACAGTATTTTAGAAATATCTCAACTCCCATTTGAAACTGCTGTGAGAGTAGAAATAGAAAGAACTTGAAATAGAATTTGATTAGTACAGCAAAGCAAACACCAAATGTTTGTGAAAATTGTCTTGAGATGCTGAATAACTGTAATGCAGATAGGATGTGGTGATATTTCTCATCTGAAATACAGCAGTGTTAAGGCACTGTGCCCTGTGGCATCCATATGGGCCTTTTCTACTGAAACAAAGATAAAAGGAAGCTGTAGTGCAGAGCTGAATGCTGAAGGACTTCCCCTGAAGTTAAGGGCATTCAGAACACATTTATTTGTATTTTCAGTAGGGCTTAGATAATACTCAACAGCTTTTTATCAAAGTGTTTGATGTATTCTGACCTTTGTTTGGATCTGTGTCAAAGATCTACTGGCAAAAAAACAAACAAACAAACAAACAAACAAAAAAACCCAACCAAAAAATCCAAGAAATTTAAGTGAAAAATCCAGTCCCCCAGTTGTGTCACTTTAATATTTTACATTAATTTTAGACTTTTTTTTCTACCAGTTGACATGCCTTATCTTTAGAAATTATTTTTCCAATTACTGTAGTTGAGAAGATAGAGAAATTAATTTTTTTTTTGGCAACAGCATGTCATTTTTGGATGAGTACATGGCCTGTCTAAGCTGATCTTTGTCAATGACAAAGTGCTTTGGAGAAGCTGCAGCAAATAGCTTCAGAAAAACCTACATGGTAGGAAAATTATGTTCAAAACTGTCCTGGTCATAGCAAGAAGATCTTAGATTTCCATCCTAAATTTAACTTTATGTGAAAATGAATAGATTTTCCTTCACAATTTCTATTTTAATAACATGGACAGAGCTAGTATGTTTTCAGTGGATTGCTCACTGTTACGGAAATGCTTTATTTCACTTGGTTGTCTTCTTCTACAATTAATTTCTTAAGATAATATATTGTTTGCATCTTCTTCATCCCAAATCATTCGAAATTGCATTGAGATATTTCCAGGCTTTTCAGCATATTTTCTGCCAGTAAAACACAGTCATCTCTGAGCTGAAATTTAGCTAGCTTCCTGTGGGTTGCAGTAATGCACTCCAGCTCAGCAGGGAAAGAGAAGACTGCCTTACTCATTTGTGTAGGGTTTGCCAGCCAGAATAGAAATATGCTAGATACTTAGCCAGGACCCACAGGCTGAAACCTGTAAAAAAGGGCACAGGGAGTCCAGCATCCTACAGTCTTCAATTTTCTGTCTCATCTGAAACTGACAGTAAATGGTATTTAACTTGTGAGGGAGAGGGCTTGATTTGGAGGGCTTATCAAAAATATCTGATTGAATCCAGCTGTGCTTTGACTATCAGATCCTGGACAATTGCATTCCAGGGGGCAGTGGCTGCAGCAGTTTGGATGAAATGTTACCCTTACCATGGACCTCCAGGCTGTCTTTAAAGGGAGCAGTACTCTTGAAGCCATTGGAAATTCATTAAAAAAAAATTCTGCTCAGGTATGGGACTGGCATAATAGCACTGAAATCCAAAAGGATCAACATGCTTGCTTGCAATTAAAGCCCTCGGATATATCCTTTAAAAGCTTATATGAGCTGGACAAGAGAGGCACATGTTTTTGTCCATCTAAAGGTCAGCTCTCAGGCTCAGTAATGCACTCAGGCAAGCAGATGCAGCTCCCATCCACACAAACTGCTGATGCATTAAGTGTGTGCCCTTAAGGCCTCCTGCTGAAGGCAATGGCAAACATCCAGTTGATTTTAACAGGATTAGCTATCATGGATCACATTTTCATCTCACATGAATTGTGAGATGTTGGAAGGAACCTCATCTGAAAGTTTTTGTCCTTTGTAACTTTTATGTTTTTTCCTCCAGCTGGGTTGATCTGCACCTGCTTGTGGCCAGAACTTGGTGCCTTTGTGTTTGCTCCTGGAGCTCTGCCTCCCTACAGGTGGTGGTAGCAGGGAGGAGGAGGGAGAAAAGCAGGGCAGGACAGTAGAGCAGGGAGAGCTTTCTTCTGTAAGTACACATTTGCAGATGTCTAGACAAGAAGGAGGCAGTTTTCTGCCTGTGGGAAAATGGGCAACTGCTTGACTCAAAATGTTTTATGTCTTTCTGAAGCAGGAATTCCCAGAATCACACCTTTCACCTGGCCTACTTTTAAGGCACCATCCTGGGATGTTTGTTAAGGCAGTAACCACGGCGCATAGCTAACAACAAGCATTTGTTAAGGACAGGCTTGAGTTCCAGCTTTGCCTGCCTCTTTGCACCATGGGGGCTGATGATCTGCACTGCAGGCTCCAGCTCAGCACAGTGGGTGTAGGAGTGCCCTGCTGACATCTGCTTTTGCAGTGTGGAGGAGGCACAGCTTTCTGGACCATTTGTGAGGGTGTTTCTGATGAGGCTGTGCTTTCAGAGTTGCGTAAGCAATTATGACAAGCTGCCAAAAGGGCAATCCTGTATCTTTCCCTTGATCATGCTGCACATTCCCACTGTCCCCTTATATGGGCAATCATGATAATATGGGTGGAAAGGCAGGTTGGAAAATATGTCTTTAATACAGAATAATACATACATTTGCTCTGTTTACTCTCAGGTGTTGTGTTGGTAGTTTATTTTGTCTGCCCAAGAGATGGACTGGAGTGGTAGACCAGGCGGTGTAGAGGAAGTAAAGGTAGTGGTGGCCTTTTTGGGAGCAGCCAGAACCTAGATAGACTTAAATTGATTCTGAGTGCACTTGTCTGCTAAAATCTCATTCTTTTTGCAAAGCTGCTACTTCATTGCTGCAACAATTTTGTTAAAGGTGTAGTTAATGTGATAGCTCTATAGGGAAAAAAGATGGGGCATTGTCCAGTGGTAATAGAGTATATGATTTAAAAATAGTGTATTTATGTTCAATCTGAATTTTGCAGATATAGATTATAAAATCTTGATAACAGGTATACCTAGTGGATATTTTCCATGAACCTATGGGCGAACTATTAAAAAAACCCATTTATTAATCAGCCTTTTTTAAAATTTGAGAATGACTTCTAGGAGAGAAAATAGTGTGAAAACCTGACTTGAACGTATGCTAGAAGTACGAGTAATTATTTTTTTCACCAAAAAATTAAATTACATAAGATTTTATTGAGACAATTAGCTTTACTGCTCTTTCCTTAAAAAATTCATAATCTTGACTTTTCTTTCATTGCCTCCATTGTATTTTAAAGAAACATAAAGCACTTAAAAATGCAACAGAAACCAGGAAGTTTATATTCCACCACGTTTTGTGTTGTTTAATAGAATTAATCACTGTATAATTGAAATCATGCTAATACTCACTTGACCTGCCTTTGTGATTCAATGCAGAGACTTCTGATTTGTCTTAAACTGCTTGGAAGAAGACTGTGTTTTAAGAAAGAAAATTGATTTTGCACAATCTGCTGATGATCAGCAAGGCTTAATGAGTGATTGCCTCAAGAAATCTCATTAAAGTAATTTGGATGGATGAGCAGGAGTGAATTGCAAAAAGAAGAAAGCATAGTTGCTGCTTGAATGCATCACTTACTGATATTTGACTCCTGAAGTATCCAAAGCCAGCAAAAGGAAAGGATCAGACACCCCTGCTTTACTTTCCTTGACACTTCCAAGTTAGTTTGATTCCTTTGGGGAAAAATGAAGATAAGTTTTTGATTTTAGTAGTATCTATTCTTTACCAAAACACTGCAGTAATTTCATTCCTTGAAGTGTATTTTTTCATTTTTTGGGGGATAATTTAAAGAGGTCATTTCCTTGAGGCTGTGAATTGGGTGAAGCATTTTATTTATGTAGAATCTACTGGTTAGCTCCTTAGCAAAGGTGAGAGTCTTCTGGTCAGCCTGGTTTCAGCTGTTCACCTCACAAAACTTCTGTGGCTGACGCAGTGTGGTGCTCATTTAAGAGAGACTCTGGAATAAAGTAGGTGGGAAGCAGCAGAAAACAAAGTAGAATGAAAATGAAAAAAATACCAAAGCCTTGATGGATTGAGATAAATTTTGAACAGCCTTCTTGTTCCATCCATCCTAAGCACATGTTCAGTTTCAGGGGCAGTAGATATTGCCCACATATCATCATCTGCACTTGCTGTTATTTAGGGCCATGCTACAGCACCAGGCAGTTCTTGAAAATTGTTGCAAGCAGGGAACAGGCAATTCTGGCTGCCAGTCTCTCCTCTGTTGTTTGAAAGGGTGGCTGTTTTTCTGACAGAACCTAGGCTTTCATTAGGGCCTTGCTGATTTTTCCTCTCCATGAGGAGATGATTCTGTAAACCTCAATAACAGCTGTGCAGGGGAATATCTGAAGTGAAGTTTCCCACATTCTGTAGGAAGTAGAAGCTGCACAGCAGAGTAAGAATTGAAATACATGATTTTGGTACCACCTGGTCTGGGTGCTGAGTCTCGGGCTCATGATCTCATGGCTGTGATGGCTGTAGAGTATGGTTTTCACAGAGAAAGCTGTCATGCAGATGGTTAAGAATATGATTATGCCCCCAAAATGCATATTAACTTTCTAATTTAATCTAGAGCATTTTAGAGTGAATTAGTGTAAGACTGGCTGTCAGCCCTCCACTAACCTGTTTTTAAATAATTTTAATTCTTGGTGACTCATTTTTTTAATCTGCTATTTGGAATAGTATTTATTTTCCTTATGGGAATGTTTTTAAGTTTATTATGTTAGTGTTTGTAAGGGAGTTGGAGATCCTAGACACCAGACTTCAAAGAAAAAGTTAATAACTTTTTCTTGATTAGATATATATATTTGTTCTTTTACAGTAGCCTTACACATCACAGCGCTATTTCAAGTAATGGTTTTAATAACAATAATGAGGAATAGAAGGTACTGCTTGACTCTCAAAGCCCTGTAATAGACATAAACAACTCTGAGAGTCTGTTGAGTTACATTCTGCTTTGTCAGTCTACAGAGAGATTAGTAATGGTTGGATTTTTGTAAAATATTAGAAAACTTAAACTTTAGGTCATGTGGGTGTTCATGTATTTTGATATCTTCAGAACATTAGTCTTCCTTGGAAGCAGGCAATGCAATAAAATTAGAGCTTTATGTTAGAAGTCATGCTTTATTTTCTTTCTGGTCTCCAAACAATTCTTTGACCTTACTTAACTTCAGTATCAGGTTGGCAACCTTTCCTTAGTATCATTGAAGTTTTGGTGAGGAATTAAGCTTTCATTCCCAAAACCCACTTCTTAGTGTTGTGCTAAATTAGGAAAGGAAACAGAGGAACACATGCAAATCAAGCACTTCATGTATTATGTGTTCCTGCATCTCGGTTAGGTTTGTGTATGCAAACCAATTCTATTGGTGTGGACCTATGTGTATGAAAAAAAAGTAATATTTAAGTGTTTAGCATCATGCAGCTGTTAACATGCATTTAAACAGATTTTATGAGTTTGGGAGCAAGGTTAACTTCAGCAGGCTTCACCAAGGGCTGTGCAGGACCCGTAGATGAAGGTTAAGTGATGAAGGTGGGCTGCAGAGCTGTTGCTGTGTGGTTGGAGAGTGGAGCTTCCTTCCTTCAGCTCTTAGCATTTGTTCCCTTCTCAAGAATGGTCCTTGCTTTCCTGCATGGCTGTCCAGCTCCAGCATGCTCTCTCTGTCCTGTGTGCTGCCTCAGCATACCCACAGACACACTGGGATTTAACGTGTGGTCCAAAATCTGGGTTTGTGGCTTTGATGGTACAGTGAGCGGTGCACCTGGAGATGATGGATTCATTCCAAAATTTGAATGTACAGTTGTGTCCTGGTTGTTAAATACAGCATGCTGATGTGGGGTGTCACTGTTTCTGGAAAGAAGGCAGGGTTTGAAAGACTGAACAACTTAAGGGAATTAACAACACCAAGAGAAGCTGGCACTTCTGTGGCCCATTATGACCCAAGGTCATAAATTTCAAGCATAAATGATCACAGTTTCTCCTTTTGTACTTAAAATTTCTATGTCCATGTGAATTTTGGGAGACATGTTTACTTGAGTAAAGTTCCACTGATGAGATCAGAACTTCACAATGAGAGAAGAAAAATTATACTTTCCAGTGCCCGTCTATGTGAACTAGGGATTTCTCTGTTGACTTGTTTTCTGTTGACTTGTCTTCTGCCTGCAGGTAAATATAGCTCTTCTCTTTCTATTGCAGAAGCAGCCTACAAAAACAGATATACCTAGTCGACTCTCAAGGTGTAGATGATCATGGGAGAACAACTGTTAAAGAACAGCATCCTTGATCAATTTATTAATAGCCATGAGCAGTCATATGAGGAATTTCTAAATACATTCACATATCTTTTGAAAGGTATGTAATTTCCCAAACCTCCTGTTAGATACCACAGACAGAAGGAAAGATAAAAGAGTGGTATTTAGTGTCATTGTGCTACTCACCTGCTTTGTGTCTTCGGGCAAATCTTTGTGATGCTTTTGTTTTTCCACTCAGCAGTGGGAGTCCTAAGGACAACTTTCTACAGATTGTTTCCCAGGCTGCTCTGTCTCTACAGGTGGTTAGCCATTTATGCTTGCTTTAGGGAGGCAGGGGAACATGCACTGTTTGGAAGCATAGATGTTTCCTAAGGACATCTTGCATTGTTTTGCTTGAGAAGTCTCCATAAAAGAAGAGCCTAAGGAAAGTGCTTAATAGTGTGAGATGGCCTGAGATTAGTGTGCAATTCGGGTACTTTTACAGCTTTACTAACACTAGCCCACTGTGCTCTGCCTGTGTATGTGCCTTCTACAAAGTGATTGTCTTCTATGATGAAACAGCTACCTGCAGGGATGTGGATGTTGTCTAAATTGATTTCAGCAAGGAAGGCTTTCAACACTGTCCTTCACAAAATCCTTGTAGGCAAACTCAGGAATTGAGAGCTGGATTAATGGACAGTGAAGTGGGTTGAGAGCTGGCTGAGTGGCAGATCTCTGAAGGTCATGATCAGCAGCACAGGGTCTGGTTGGAGCCCTGTCACTGGTGGTGTCCCCCAGGGTTCAATACTGGGCCCAGTCTGGTTTACCTAATTCATCAATGACTTGGAGGAAGGGGCAGAGTTCCCTGCCAACACAAAGCCAGGAGGAGTGGCCCACACCCCAGAGTGCTGTGCCACCCTTCAGAAGGGCCTCGACAGACTGGAGAGATGTGCAGAAAGGGACCTGCTGAAATTCAACCACGGCAGGTGTAGGTTCTGCTCCTGGGGAGGAATAACCCCCTGCACCTGCACAGGCTGGGGCTGAGCTCTTGGAAAGCAGCTCTGTGGAGAAGGACCTGGAGGTCCTGGTGGAAAACAAGCTGTCCATGGGCAGCAGTGGCCAAGGAGGCCAATGGGATCCTGGGGTGCATTTGGAACAGCACTGCCAGCAGGTTGAGGGAAAAGATCCTGTCCCTCTACTCAGCCCTGGTGAGGCACATCTGGAGTTCTGTGTCCAGTTCTGGGCTCCTCAGGACTAGAGAGACTTGGAGCTCCTGGAGCAGGTCCAGCAGAGGGCTACAGGGATTATTAAGGAACTCTCATTTAGGAGCATCTCACTTAGGAGGAAAGGCTGAGGCAGTCTGGTCTGTTCAGCTCCAGAAGAGATGAATGAGAGGGGACCTTATCAATGTCTATAGATATGTGACAGGAGGGTGTCAGAGGATGGAGCCAGGCCTTTCTCAGTGGTGCCAGCAATAGGACAGGAGGCAATGGGCAGAAAATGATGCACAGAAGTTCCACCTGAACATGAGGAAGAACTTCTTTACTGTGAGGGTAAACGAGCACTGGAACAGGCTGCCCAGAGAGGGTGTGGAGTCTCCTCACTGGAGATACTCAAGATCTCTCTGGATACAATCCTGTGCAAGGTGCTCTAGGATGACCCTGCTTGACCAGGGAGATAAGACCACTGTGGTCACTTCCAACCTGGCCCATCCTGGGCCAAGCTAACAGGTAACTTGGATGAAGGTACAGCAGGACATCAGATAGATGATTAGGCTGAAAAGATCTCATGCTCTGCAGATGAAATTAAAAGTGGAGCTTAACCTTGATCTGAGCATTGCTGAATTACAGAAGTCCAATTCTGTAGCTCAGGTTCACATTTTTTAACCATGTTCAGACAGGTGTCATAAAAATAAGTGCAAGCTATATATTACTCACAATTCTCTTTACCACTGCTTTACACTAGAAGCGATGTCCTCATACTATTGCAGAAGCACTGTATTTTTCAATTACAGCATGTGGCATGCCCCATTGATTGGTACTCAGAAGTCTGTTCTGTCCTTATCCTTCAGGCAGAACTAAGTGTCAGTCACAAGCATTGAGCAGAAAACCAATGGGGGAGCTGAAGCTGCCACAGAAATAATCTTGTGGCAACTTTCTGTCTCTCCTGGCTATAAAATATAGAAGAGAAAGGAGACACTGGGGGATGAGATAAGAGGATTGAAAATCTGGTTCTGGTCTTATGTATGATTGATACACTGGGGATAGCTCCTATCATAGAGGCATGCTGCATGTCATGATGCTACTTGCAAAAAGCCTCAGCGTGTATTTCAGTCACTTTCACTGTCACTGTAGGCATTTGCCACTAAAATAATATAAAAGGTAGAGCTTTACCTGAATCAAATGCTTAGAAATGCACTTGTTTTCCTCCTACTTTCATTTTTCTTTAAAAATACCCAACATGCTGGTCTGCATTGTAAACTAGTAACCTGTAAAAAATCTACTTAAAGCATAAAACATACATTGTCATCTAATAGATTTTTGTCTGTCATAACATTGGAAACAGAAAACACACAAAACTAATTGGATCCCATTGATTTCCCAGAATAACATATTTACAGAAGGTCATTTTCACTTTTGCATGAATTTGTACTAGGTATAGCATTGCAAGGCTATTTTCAGCTGAAGTTTCCATGTTATTCTTGAAAGCATTTCATAAGTGATTTATAAATTTTTATTCATATGCTAAATTTACACACAGTGAAGCTGTAAAGAATATACCTAGAGTAGAAAGACCCAAGCATCCTTGGTTGTTCTGGCCTAGCTAAAAAGAGCCTTTTGAGGCTATATATAGCCTGGAGTGACCCCCTGTGAATACATTAGGACCTTCTGCTGAGAGTATAGTTTAATTCTTAAAAATGTGGGAAACAAGATTAATGAATTTTTACATTCCTGACTTCAATTTGGCTTTTTACGAATTGCTAATATCCCAATCAAGAAAATCACATTTTTAGAATGTTGTCTTTTTATTGTGTCTGAATGTGTGATATTACCTTCTACTACTTCTATTCTTCCTGTGCTATTTGGAAAGATACTCTCTTAGTTCACATACAACAAGATCTGGAATGAAAATAAGTCCTTCTAAATTCTTTGTAATTGGTTTAATTATGTGTGTTGGGTTTAACTAGCACAGAGATGTGTTATAATTTAGCTGGACCATAAAATTACATCTTTGATATGGGTTTTTAATCTTCCAGATTTTAGTATTCCTGAAAATCCCAGTGGTTCTGTTTTTTAAAATGTGCTTAGTGCAGTGAGAAAATGAGAGTTCATAGACTAATTGACAAGTAAATCCTATAGTAAGACTATTATTTAATGTCTACAGATCTGATGGAGAATGGATAAACATACGTAAATATATTTTTAAAACTCTGATCTCAGCATATAAAACATGAACATGACCTATACAACTTAAATAAATACTATTTTAAAATTGTAGGAGTACTTGCTCTGTAATGGAATTTTTTTAAAACCCTTTTTATTGATTCTGTAATGAATGGGCATTTGATAGCTAGGTTAAGATTCTAGTTAAGTCTCTTTATTTTTCCTATTTAGAGCATCCAAAGTGTGTTTTTTTGTCATAGGGATAATAGGAACTAGATGAATATATGGGCAGAAGGGCTGGTGAACCCATGGGAATCTAATGTAGTAAATTAGAGCATGAGTGCAAGAAGATGACATCTTCCATACTCGCTGTAAAGCTTTGCAGTTGAAGGAGCCTCAGAAGAGCTGAATTTACAAAGGAGCGGGTGATACAGATTTCTGCAGATGAGGTCAATGAGTGGTATGTTCAGAACTACACACTTTCTAGAAAAACTTTGGACAAAATCTCATAGAAATCCATCCAACTCTGCTTTTGAAAATATTGCCACAGAGGACAAAAGCCTCTTTCAAATCTTAAGGAGAGTGTTTGAAATCTGGTGCAGAGCTATGATGCTCAAAATCAGAAGGCAACATCTGCTCATTTTTAAAACTCAGAGGAAGAACGGGAAATTCACTGGAGCATAAAATATCTCATTTGACCTTGTTAAAAAATACAGAAAAAAACCCACCAAATGGTCCAAGCTTCAAAATTTTCATATAGAAAATTTTAAATTACTCCTCTCCCACTTCTAAAAGTACAGGATTAGGGATTGTTCAGCTGGATAGGAAAATGCTACCATGGACAAAATTCTTACCCAAATCCAAGTTAAGATTTGCATTTTTTTTCATGATTCTGGGCATTTGACTGCTAGGATTAAATTAATTCCATTCATGCTGTTAATTTTGCTGTATTTCATATACCTCCCACTGCTTGGGAGTTTGATGAAGTCCAGGGACCTTATTTAGACCCATCTAAGCAAGCCACAGCTTGGATTGAAACTTCTTAGCCTTGGTGCTGTTGTTTTGATGCCTCTGCTGAACAAACTGTCAAGTGGAGGAAGTTTGGAAGTGACTGATCACTTCTGTGCTTACAGGTGGCATGCCAGGGCCATATTCTATGTTGTGCTCAGATTAACTAAATTCCCCAGTGAAAGCTGGGCAAGGTATTCAGTTCACAGTCCATTTGACTGTAGCTGTCTGCTTCCTTTTTACATTAACCACATTTAGGAAAAACAACAACCTTAAGCTTCCCATATAAGTGTCAGTGGGGGCACTTTACAAATGTCAGTCTTCACAGCAGAAAGCATACCAGAGAACTATATGAGAAGTGACAGTGAATGCGCTTTTATTTAAAAATGGACCAGTAGGACAATGCTAACCCCAAGAGAAATTTCAACCTATGAGTAGATTTGCCAATAAAAGCAACTAGACAGTTCAGTAAAATGAATTAAATTAATCTGTCATCCCCAGGGAACTTAAACAGGGCATGAAATAGGGAAACAGCGTCAATTCAGAGCTTTTTATTGATGTGTTGTGCTGGATCATTTGAAAGAATTGGTTGGGAGACAAAATTTGCAATTTTCTATTGATCATAAATTCAGTAGCTATCTCTTTGTAGCCTTTATTCAATATAGTATAAAATCAAATGCCATACAGAGCCCCTAAATGTAAAAAAAAATCCCAGACATAGAAATGTAAA